CATGACGATTTATTTCGCAATTGGATCAAAGATTTTATGCGGTATCTTGTCAGTTTTCATTCAAATTTGGCACATACATGTACTTTATACATGTTAGGATGCATGTCCATGACAATTTGTTTCAAAATCTAGTCAAGGATGGCCGATTGACAGCATCTGACTTTTTGGCCTTACTACTATATTTCCACAATTTATGTACCATTTTCATTCGAATTTGGCACATACATCATATACATATCAGTGTGTTTCATAATCAGATCAAAGATGGCCGAATAATGGCTGTTTTTATTTTTGGCCATATTACTACTACACGGAACACGTGTTTCGATGTAAATAAACAATCTGTTGTATACGCCACTTGGAACTCAAGTTTCAAGGACACGCTCGCGACAACCCCTCCGCTTTAATATGACAAGAACAAAGAGAACTTTCAAACATTTAATGGGGACTGTGTCATTTTCAATGACTTGTTCAGCTTTACTAGGGCGCCCTCGCAGGGCATATGTACATATACAAATGAAGGGCATATTTTTCTGTTCAGTATAACAACACATTCAAATGTCAACCCAAATAGTGGTGGACATGCAGTTTTCATATACTAGCTTTCTAAGCTCATTGTCAACCAAGGCTTTGTTGTGGATCATATGACCACCTTATTTGAGGTGAATATTTGTACTACCTTTAGTGCACTTCTCACCTAGCAATATCGTAACATGCTTCATCTGCATAGACCACCTTCCTGGATATAGTGAGACTGGGGCACAAGCAAAAAATGCCAGATTTTATCATGGTAGCCAATACAAACTTGTCAGTCTATTTTAGTACTGATATTTAGTAAAATGTAATCTGGCATTTTTGGCATGTCGATTGATAAATCCACACGCATATTATCACGATTACTGTAAAATTTGTATTAAAAGCCGTGGCTTTTATTAAAATGGTACAATGCAACAGAGGAGATGCGGCTTCTATTAGAGCATTTACACATATGAGAAATGATGAATTTTGGGTTCTCAATTATTAAAAACAAATGATGCGACTTCTAGTACAGATTTTACGGTACATGTTGGCATTGCATCTGGTATGCATGCACATACAAAACAGCATAGACTTCCAGGAAAGTGGTCTGCATGTGAGTTGATATTATTGATACATGTGCTTTGTGTGTTTTTCACTTTGACAGGAATTCATGAACATACCGATGTCATTGAAAGTTATATGTCATTAATTTCACAGGTATGTTTATACACTTAATATGAGTTCTATGTGCTATATTGTATATGTTCTGTTGGTAGTGCAGGACTTTAAATACTTGAAAGAAAAGTGTAAAATGATGTAAAATATTAGTTGTATCCTTTATACAATAAATACAATTTTTTGTGTAATTTTGTTTTTGTTTATTTGAGATGCAATTTTAGTGAATGTAATCCTTGTCAAATTCATTCATTCATTCATTCATTCATTCTATCATTCATTCATTCATTCATTCATTCATAGTCATTTTTGCCCATTTTAAAAATATTTATCAACATGCATATCAAATCACTTTTCATAACATTTTCTATACTTTGATCTGTGGTGATTCTATAGTAATACATTTTGTTCAATCAATAATTGATTTGTAATCACTGCATTTGTTAGAAAATTGATTGAAGTGCAAAGCAAACACATTCCTGTAAATATTGTCTACTCACATGCCTGCATCTCTTACTTCAGCCAAATAGGGCGCATTTGAATTTAAAATTAAAAACCAATTGATACAAGTTGATTTTCTTCTTATTTTCTTAATAATTGGAACATTGATTATTGTTTGTATCTAATTAAACTATACAGTACAGTGTTTAATGCATATCTTTGTTTCCATAGCTACTAAGAAAGTGCCCTCATGTGGTCGTTTGTGAGGACTGTAATCCATTACCTATCTATCAGATTGGATTAGTAGGATTAACATTACCAGAAACTATCACTGTCAAATCTACAGCAATATTCTTTGTAAGTATGACTTTCATTATTTTACTATCATTAAAATGTAACACGCATTATGTTCAAAAAGAGGATAGTCATACTATCATGCTTATATTGGGAAGAATTGTGTTGAAATTTTCTCAAAAATACCATATTTTAGCTGTGTGAGTGACCTTGTTATCATGCTTGCAACTATTGCATGTGTTATCAGAAAACTAAAACCGCTAAGATTCATGGGTAATATGGAATTACACTGACAAATGTTTGTTCTAGAATTACTGTCATGAAAATGATTTGATTTGCAAATTCACCGACTTAAAACTATTTTTAACAAAAAACAAGTTTCAACTTAGTGTTTATTTGTGAGAGACTTTGTCTGCGTTTGTTTCAGTCTGTGTAACTCCTGAGTGGTGACTGTCTGTCAGTTTTATCTGCCCTAACTGACAGATAACCATCCATTTTCATTCTCAGAACTCATTATGTGAATGTGTTGTGAAAAGTAGGTTGAGTTCATTGGCATGAAGATTACACATTTAGGGATCTTAAGTCAAAAAATGTCTCCCAAACTCAAGCTTGTCTGACTGCTGAAAAAAGAGGTCTTCAAGAAATTGAGATAACATTGTTAGGCAAGTCAGGACACAAACGAAAATGTGGCTCCTGATTTTCTTCCTTTTTATGCCTATTTTGTGAATGTAAAATGTGAATTTACTATTAAATTTGATAACTATAGTGCTATGTTTTTCAAGATCACCAGATTAAAGTTTGATTTTCTGTTGCCAGAAAATGAGCATCATTAGCATCACAGTAAATATTTGTGAGTTGATAGCATATCATATTGGTTTTAAATGACACACCACATATGTAGCATATTGATTACTGGCAGCCATCTTGTTTACTTTTGTGCATATCCACTCCAGTGTCATAGACATCAACACATAAGTACGGTTAGTGATTTTGTCTGAAGTTAACTTGTTCAGTTCTCATCAGTTATAGTTCGTAATCCGGACTTCTGTTTTTGGTTCTGTCTATGAATTCTTTTGACATCATTTTTCAGAGTTTACTTGATCAATTTTGTTCAAAGTCGGTACAAAGACAAGATACAATTAAATAAATATTCATATCCGTTTTTGTTCTGAGACGCCAAGAAACATCGTTCCTTAGACATGCCTTCACTAATTTCATTAAAACTGGCTTTGACATCACTCATGTTTGGTTACTGGTGCACATTACCTTGTTTCATGTCTTAATTCAAACCATTGTCACCAATTTCTCTTATACTTTTTGACTGCTTTTGTTGAAATCTGCATATTTTTGCATATTTTCAATATATTTTCAATTAGGGGGGGGGGGGGTTGATAAAAAAAATAATTGGTAGACATTGTGTGTAGTTTTTCAAGTTTTTAATTGTCCTTTCCCATTGTCTTGTCATAAGATGTACTTGCTTGTGGCTAACCTGTGTAATATCATGACTACTACCCGGTACTTGATTTTTGCTAAAATAGCGCTCCACCTCCTGTTTACATTGCTATATATTGTTTAGTTTTGTAATTAAATCTGTAACTTACACAAAATAAAGCTCATAGAAGTTTGAATTTTAAATGTTTTCAAATACAGTACAGTCAGGGCAAGCTAGCTATCAGCCTTGTCTTTTCATACAAATTATTAATTTTTAAAGTGTTTATCATTGTCATCAACAATTTCAATTTATTCTTTGTTGTGTTTTACGTATGTTACTAATAAGAGATGTATTCAGGTAGATTACAGCAAGTCTCAGAAGTATTGGGGCAGCCAATTTGCAAACTTGCTAGCGAATTGGCTAACTGCTTGGGTTTTGACTATTAAATTACGAAGAAAAAAGAACACTTTCCATGGTATATTTGAAAACAAAATCACCATCCAACTGTAA